ATTGGCCAATGGTCGTTCGAATCCCAACGATCGGATCGACATTTAGCCAACAACCGAGATTGATTCTAGACTTCAAAACGACTTCTCTAAAATCAAGGTGCAGCCTGCCTACCTTGCACAACCCATGATTTAGCACAGAAAACGAAATAGCTACAGTCAAAGGGTGTCCGCTAACGTTGGACGCGTCACATCCGTGGAGTTTTCCAATTCCCCTCATTAAATGCTTGATAGGACTCGACTTGGACTGTAATTTCATTTCACTCGGACCCTATCGTCCAAGCGAAAGGGGTCAACTGTTATGGTGCTTCAAACACTAAGAAATAATCTCTAATCAATGACAGGTAAGTGTCTCACATTATGCATAATTAAGTCAGCATCTCAAGATAATTAGAGGCCCAATCCGATCAACTCGACACGCCAACATCTTGTGAAGATGACTCGAAAGCCGCCATCTCATACTCGATCGAAATTACCATTCTACCCTTCTGTCACCACTATAAACATGGGTACTATTTTCAATAACAATGTAAGTTCTTGATTATTGCTCACTAAGCTTAAGAACTAATACAGTTCATTTTTACTACTCCACTCAAGTCACTCACTGACTTGATCGTTGGAGGAACAACCGGGGGAACCCAACCCCGCCCTCTTAAGATTTGCTACTTGTGCATGGAAGAACAGCTTACTCCAGAACCAAACATTTGGGGGGTTAGAGGACCTCCGTTAATCACTCCTTTCATTTGACTACCTGATATCAGACATCAACAAAAAGCATTATGTCTAAGTTACATAGTTATATTTATAATGAAAAAAATTAAAATTACAAGATCTTCAATTGTGATCAGTTTTTGGGAGATTTTGATTGTTAGGCCTTTTATCTTTTTGTTCAAGTTGCAATTTTTATTGAATATGTTAGTTTTTTCTCCCACTTCTCAGTGAAGATGTTGGGAAGACATATGTTGATAATAGTTACTCTTTGAATAAATGACATGCTAGTAATTATGTGCAGTTAGCCTCTGTTTTTTCCATAAATATTGATAAGATTTGTGCCTACGGTAGTTGGCCTTTGAATTGTGCATTTGATATGTTTTCCTAACCCGCATCACGTGCAACCCTAATTTGGACCAAAGATGAGACCTTTCAACCTAAAACAAAAAATAGTGACACAATACTGCCCTTTTGTCCTAACATGTATTTGATGCGTTTTCTTAACATGCACCACGCGCAACCCTATTTAGGACCCAAAAAAAAAAAGACACCTTTCAACCTAAAACAATAAAAAATGATGCGATGATCTTATCGGGTTGACAAAGGCACTTGTCTGGTTCGGTTCATCAATCGTAGCTTATCGGGTTCAGATCCGTTAGGACGAAGGGCACTGTTGTAACTTCAAGGTTCAAAACCCACCAGAAAAACCCTAACAAGCGATTACTCCACATAAAAAGCAAACCCCAGGTCGCATCGCGTGCTGCCGCCGTCGAATTCCCAAAATGTCGAAAAGAGGTACGATCTTATATCTTAATTCGAATAATTGTTTTTATTAATGGCTGTTTCTTTTGATTTAATGAAGTTTTCACCGAAAAAGTTGAAATCTTGCGGGAACTTCCCTGCTGTTTATTTAAAAGATTTAATCAGCTAGATTGAGTCACTTCCCAGCAGTCGTTTGCTTTATGGAAATTACTCCAATTTATTGGAGATTATGCGGTTAATCAGCTCATAAGCATGTACCTCTCTTGATGCCACCTCAAATTCTCATTTTCAGGGATAAAGTAATCTGCTTTTACAGTTATCTCATTTCAAAGACACCCCTTTTCATTTCATCGTAGATTGTTGTATGGTTAGCGATTTCAATAGTAGTTGAAACTGAATTGATTAATTAGGGCGCGGAGGATCGGCCGGGAACAAGTTCAGGATGTCGCTGGGTCTTCCGGTGGCTGCCACCGTGAACTGTGCCGATAACACTGGAGCGAAGAACCTGTACATCATCTCAGTGAAGGGTATCAAGGGGCGATTGAACAGGCTGCCGTCGGCTTGTGTCGGCGACATGGTGATGGCCACTGTGAAGAAAGGAAAGCCTGATTTGAGGAAGAAGGTGATGCCTGCCGTCATTGTGAGGCAGCGCAAGCCTTTTCGCCGAAAGGACGGTGTCTACATGTACTTTGAAGGTATACATGTGTTAATATAGTTTCTTGAATGTGTGTTTGATGATTATTGTGAGTACAAAGAAATCAGTCCGATGCGAGTAGAGTTTGTTTTGAACATGATGATTGAATTAGAACGATGTAGGGTTCATTTCATGTAGTTTTTACTAGGTTTTATGTTGGCTGTCGGCTAACCAACAACACAAACCTCGTTTATGTTAGCTTGGGACATGCAGTGAGAATATGAATATTTAAGGTCAACAATGGTTGCATTAGTATATCTATGCAAAAGTTGTAGATATATTATCACAAATCGCCTTATTGTGATTCTGAGCATAATGGTATTTGTCTTGTTGCTTCTAATTGATGCTTTGTAATTTCACTTTCTATATTTGGTTGATTGAAGTTTAATTTCTATGGGTGTCTACAAGTGCCTTTGGAAGCATATAGAAGGTGTTTGAAATAATATCCTACGCCTTCCAACTGCACTAACAATACTACCATTGGACTTGTAAATTGCAACTGACCCATTTGTTATTCTTTGTGGGATGTTGCTTTTGTCCTTTTGGTTCTTCCTTGTTGATTCTTTGCTAACTCGTAATCTTTGTGGTGACGGAGGAGGTTTTTCCTCCTTAGCTTACCCGAGCAAACAATCATGTTTGCAAATTCCCAAGTAAACGTCACGTATAAAGCTTTCTGTGTGTTGATGGTTTTTCCTGAAGGCATAGCCTCTAAGGAATACCTCCACCCCGAAGCGGTCTCGTATTCCATCGCCTGGAGGAGCAACATCGCTGCCCTTACCTGTTGGGACTGGCCATGAGACGAACATCTTACCCTACCACTTGTAACATGTATTAGAATGTATCATTTTACCGTTTTCTTTTTAGTCTCTGCTAGTTACCGATTCTAATAGGGTGTGTTGTCCTCAATTTCAACGGAACACGCCAATCATGTGAATGAATGTTGTATAAAGGTTTTCTGATGTTGATAGTGCATAAATTTATTTTTCAAACGGCTAGTCCACTGTGAGCTCTTCTCATATTTCCTCACATATTAGCATTAAAGACAGTTGTCTTTATAATTAATTGAGCGTTATTTCCTCCTAAGTGTTAAATTATGTCACTTACAAGATTTGTTTATGATTTATATCTTGGTTTGTTCTGACATGTTTATACTTATTTGCTTGTGATGTAGATAATGCTGGGGTTATTGTGAACCCAAAGGGGGAAATGAAAGGTATATGTCTATATCCTTTTCCCATGGATTATCCTTTTTTTAACCATCTCAGCATCTAACTCTATTTTGTACATGCATTGATGTTTGTAGTGAAAACTGAAATGCATAAATTTGTTTCTGCCTCTTTATCTAATACATATATCAATCGATGTTTTCTGCTTCTTCAGGATCTGCAATTACTGGACCAATTGGAAAGGAGTGTGCTGATTTGTGGCCTAGGATTGCTAGTGCAGCCAATGCCATTGTGTAATGTCCAGATTTTTCTTCAGGTGTCAATGAGGAGTAGTAGTTTCATGTTATTTGTTACTGAAAAGAAAAGTGAGTTTTTTAAATATGGATCCATATTTGTATTGGATGTTTTTGTTTTCCCGTGACGTACATATATTGGAATTTGTTTAGAACTGATCCAGCTGATGGTAGCCTTGGTGTCCTTTTGTTATGAAATTAAATGGTGATTGTTTGCGTCAAAAGTTGGTTTTGTTATGGAATTCATTATATCTTCGGTCGATTACAACAAATTCAAAAGAAATAGCCTTTTTATAAGACTTCTTTTACACAACAAAAGAAAAATTACAACTTTTTAGAAACAAACGCAGGATCGTTGTTTGGATCGCTGCTTGCGTGGGATCTTTGCCTGTGCCGGGAGCGCTTTGACTCGTGGACCACCAAATCACAGATTCTGATTGAACCGTGAGGGGTTTAATGATTCTTCCTTCGTTTATCGAAGTAAGAATTTGAAGCGAATATCTTATCGATGTAAGATGTTCACTCTTCCAAAGATCAAGTCTGAGCTTAGATCTCTAGGAATGGCCAAAAGCTTCTTGAGGATGTTTGTGAAGAAGAAAGACTCTCTCTCTTGCTCTAATTCACCAAAACTCAAGGCTCTCTGCTCTAATCTGCTTTGGAAATGCTCCGCCCCTGTCCATGATGACCATAGGGGGGTATTTATAGCCTCCTTAGACGATAACTGAAGAAATAGCCGGTCAATAACTGTCTCTTTAGGCGCGGCAGCTGATGCTGTCGCGGCTAAAGGGCGCGACAGTCGACACGAGCGCAACAGTCGACACGGCCGCGGCTAAAGGGCGCGGCAGTCAACACTGCCGCGGCTAAAGGGGCAGTTACACCCACGTTCATACGTGTTTGAAACAGTTCTCCCACGACCTTTAACCACCTTTTTCGTGGTTTAACTGCCTGTCCACGTAAAGGGGCAGTTACACCCACGTTCATACGTGTTTGAAACAGTTCTCCCACGACCTTTAACCACCTTTAGGTTTGATCGTTCAATTTGTGGACCTCTCGTTCATGGAACGAATCGAGAGGGGATTTTGGCTTTGGTCCTAACTGTTTAAAGGTTTGACCAAGATGGGAATTTGAGACGATCCTAACTGTTTAAAGGTTTGATCGTTCAATTTGTGGACCTCTCGTTCATGGAACGAATCGAGAGGGGATTTTGGCTTTGGTCCTAACTGTTTAAAGGTTTGACCAAGATGGGAATTTGAGACGATCCTAACTGTTTAAAGGTTTGATCGTTCAATTTGTGGACCTCTCGTTCATGGAACGAATCGAGAGGGGATTTTGGCTTTGGTCCTAACTGTTTAAAGGTTTGACCAAGATGGGAATTTGAGACGATCCTAACTGTTTAAAGGTTTGATCGTTCAATTTGTGGACCTCTCGTTCATGGAACGAATCGAGAGGGGATTTTGGCTTTGGTCCTAACTGTTTAAAGGTTTGACCAAGATGGGAATTTGAGACGATCCTAACTGTTTAAAGGTTTGATCGTTCAATTTGTGGACCTCTCGTTCATGGAACGAATCGAGAGGGGATTTTGGCTTTGGTCCTAACTGTTTAAAGGTTTGACCAAGATGGGAATTTGAGACGATCCTAACTGTTTAAAGGTTTGATCGTTCAATTTGTGGACCTCTCGTTCATGGAACGAATCGAGAGGGGATTTTGGCTTTGGTCCTAACTGTTTAAAGGTTTGACCAAGATGGGAATTTGAGACGATCCTAACTGTTTAAAGGTTTGATCGTTCAATTTGTGGACCTCTCGTTCATGGAACGAATCGAGAGGGGATTTTGGCTTTGGTCCTAACTGTTTAAAGGTTTGACCAAGATGGGAATTTGAGACGATCCTAACTGTTTAAAGGTTTGATCGTTCAATTTGTGGACCTCTCGTTCATGGAACGAATCGAGAGGGGATTTTGGCTTTGGTCCTAACTGTTTAAAGGTTTGACCAAAATGGGAATTTGAGACGATCCTAACTGTTTAAAGGTTTGATCGTTCAATTTGTGGACCTCTCGTTCATGGAACGAATCGAGAGGGGATTTTGGCTTTGGTCCTAACTGTTTAAAGGTTTGACCAAATGGGAATTTGAGACGATCCTAACTGTTTAAAGGTTTGATCGTTCAATTTGTGGACCTCTCGTTCATGGAACGAATCGAGAGGGGATTTTGGCTTTGGTCCTAACTGTTTAAAGGTTTGACCAAATGGGAATTTGAGACGATCCTAACTGTTTAAAGGTTTGATCGTTCAATTTGTGGACCTCTCGTTCATGGAACGAATCGAGAGGGGATTTTGGCTTTGGTCCTAACTGTTTAAAGGTTTGACCAAATGGGAATTTGAGACGATCCTAACTGTTTAAAGGTTTGATCGTTCAATTTGTGGACCTCTCGTTCATGGAACGAATCGAGAGGGGATTTTGGTTTTGGTCCTAACTGTTTAAAGGTTTGACCAAATGGGTATTTAAGACGATCCTAACTGTTTAAAGGTTTGATCGTTCAATTTGTGGACCTCTCGTTCATGGAACGAATCGAGAGGGGATTTTGGCTTCGGTCCTAACTGTTTAAAGGTTTGACCAAATGGGTTTTGTGAGGGAAGATTGATCTAACGAAGTGATCGAATCTCATCTCAGCAAAAGAGTGTTCGAAAATCATAATAGGAGCTTAGTATTTATCATTCTGTCCATAATAATCGGGTTATCCCTAAGAATATTATATTTAACATTCTTCCAGGAACTTCCCATTACATGAATTATCGACCCCCAGCTTTCTTTGTAAAACTGGGTATAACGAGGAGTACGTTAACCTCAGTCATATGTTCGGGTTATCCTTAAGAATATAGGATTCTCCAGGAACTTCCCGTTAAGGAAAGGAAATAGTTTAGACTCATATACCTTTTGGAGTATCGAGGAGCAGTTTATACTCGTATACTTTTCGGAGTGAGGGGAAACAGTTTATACTCGTGTACCCAATGGAGTTGGGGAAAACAGTTTATACTCGTGTATCCGATGGAGTAATATGGTCGTCTTTACTCGACTTCTTTGGCCGTTATGACGCCGGAGTCAATTAAGGCTTGGATTTTGTTTTTGAGTCCAAAGCAAATTTCGGTGGGATGAAGAATCCTTCTGTGGTACGCACAGTAATTTGGATCCGTAATCATCTTAGCTCCATCCTGATCTTTAATAGGTGGTAGCTCGATTTTGTCATTAGCGAGGAGGTATTCCAATATGGCTGGAGCTTCATCCTCTTCGAATGAATATTCTTTTTGAAACTTCGGATCGAAAGTTGCGTTCCCAATGATTGCAGATGTCATTTGTTGGCCTTTCTCAGCTTCCTTTCTTTTAAGAAAGTGTTCAGCTTGTTCGCCACGAAATTTTAACTCCTTCCAAGTTGTGGACGGCTCAACCCCCAAAGCTTCCAAGACATCGATGGAGAGGTTATTGTGGCATGTTTGCAGGATGAACTCCTCTGTAATAGGATCTCTGCAATTCATCGCCATGTTACGGAAACGCTTGACAAAATTGTCGACTGACTCTCCGTCTTTTTGCTTCTCATCCAAAAGGATTCCGATTGACACTTCGGTGTCATCATCGAAGAAGTTGCTGAGGAACAAACTTTCCATGTCATCCCAGCAATTGATGCTCCCTGGCTTGAGCCGTCGGTACCAATCGAAGGCGGGCCCACGAAGGGTGCCAACGAATGACCGGATCATTAAGGCCTCGTTTCCAGAGATTATGCCCAAATGAGACTTGAAATAAATCAAGTGTTGAATCGGCGAACTCTTCCCTTCAAACGGTGTGAAGTTAATCAGATTGAATTTGGTCGGGTATGGTATTGAATCCCATTCCCTCGGATAAGGACATGGAATACCCGTCTTCTTAACTTCTTGAGCCGTCATCAAAGCATTGATTTTGTCTTCAAGTTTTTGCATTTTCCCGTCATCGTCTTCATTTCTTTCTGAATGATGTCGAGTAAAGATAATTGGACCACCCCCAGTGAGAGGTGCTATTGAACCACCCCCAATATCGTTATTGGGAGGATCCGTTAAACCACCCCCAGCGTTATTGCCATTGGGAGGTGTATCAGCCATAATGACTTCATCCACCTCTGGATCACTGTCATCTACAACATTCCGAGTGTGGTGGCTGGATTCAAATCGCTGATTGGACTCAGGAGGTTGAGGCTGTTGAGTTAACAGTTCTCTCATTTGTTGGATAGCCAACTTCATTTCTGTCTTCACTTCAGCTCTAATTTCTTCACGTTGTTTGGCTAGAGCTTCCTGAAGTATTTGAGTGAACTGATCAGCAGTGATTGTGAATACTTCTCTGATTTGTCCTGTGCTAGACATTGTATCATCAGAAGCGATTGCAGAATAAGTGTCCGAGAATTCATCCTCCGAGGACATTCCTTCTTGCATTCTCTTGTAGTCTCTGCGTCTGATAGCTCCTAATTGGAGTCGAGACATCCTTTGAGCAATTCTTGGATTGACTTTTCCTTTCGGGGAAAAGTCGGGATTTGAGTCACTTGAATGCTGTTTAGACTTTCTTCTATCAGCTACGTTGATGGTGACTTCAGGGAATTCATCATTTTGGGCAGCTGATTTTCTTTTGCGGAAATGTCTCAGCTTAGGCTTTGATAATGCAGAGACTTTTCGTGGGATGATTTCTCGTTTGAAACAGTCACATTCTGATAATGCTGTTTTGACGAGTCGTGCACAGGAACAACGAGAGTTTATCTCTCGAATAACTCTCTTTCGAAAATTATTCACAACCTCAATTTGATAATACGATTCATTGGTATGATTGCCAAAAAATCGTATCGTCTGTTGGTATGATCTCCCAGGTATGACGATATCATTTGGTGAATGCGTCTTCTTCTGGGGGTATAAAACCTTGTTGGCATTCTCAGGACAATTTATTTTTGTCTTTGAGCGATCCAAGGTTATGTCGGGAGTCGCACGTTTAGAACCACCCCCTTGTGGGTATGGAGTCTTAACGGGCTCCGAATGCTGATTTTGCATAAGTCCAGACTTTGGAATCCAAACTTGACGAAGTTTTGGTGATTCTTTGGTCACCATTTCCTTTCTCTTTTCTCGTCTTTGTTGTGAGAGAGCATGGGCATTAGCAGCTTTTGCACGACGTTTTTGTATACGTTCTTTGAGGGTCGAACGAGTCTTTTTGACAATAGTCCATTCATCCGTCGTGAGTTTAGCAGAGACATGAGTGATTGGTCGTTGAGACAACTGAACCACTCGATGTCTCCTCGACTTTAGGTCCGCGTGATAACGAACCCCGTCGGTTTGTTCCAACGCCTTAGCCATTTGGCGAGCGCGGCGTTGGCGTTGTCTCTGACGAGCTCTTTTCGTCAATGCCGGTGGGCTTTGATTTAATGACTCTTTACTTGGCGAAGAGCCATTATGAGCAGAGAGGTTGTGAGTAGAATCCTCAGCAACAATCAGGCGAGAGTCTTCATTTTGTGCCTTCTTTGGCATGCAACTCTTCCTCAATTGTGAGATCCTCTTGTACTTGCGAGATAATGAAGATCTTGAAGAGGATGATGAGAGATATTCCTCAAACTTGGTTTGGTCGAATTCGTATTCGACCATGGATTCAACTGGAATCTTGATCGGCTGCGACACGACGGTCTCGGCAGCGAGACCGTTGGCTCCCACTGTGGTCGCCAGCTTGTTTGCGTCAAAAGTTGGTTTTGTTATGGAATTCATTATATCTTCGGTCGATTACAATAAATTCAAAAGAGATAGTCTTTTTATAAGACTTCTTTTACACAACAAAAGGAAAATTACAACTCTTGAGAAACAAACGCAGGACCGTTGTTTGGATCGCTGCTTGCGTGGGATCTTTGCCTGTGCCGGGAGCGCTTTGACTCGTGGACCACCAAATCACAGATTCTGATTGAACCGTGAGGGGTTTAATGATTCTTCCTTCGTTTATCGAAGTAAGAATTTGAAGCGAATATCTTATCGATGTAAGATGTTCACTCTTCCAAAGATCAAGTCTGAGCTTAGATCTCTAGGACTCGCTAGAAGCTTCTTGAGGATGTTTGTGAAGAAGGAAGACTCTCTCTCTTGCTCTAATTCACCAAAACTCAAGGCTCTCTGCTCTAATCTGCTTTGGAAATGCTCCGCCCCTGTCCATGATGACCATAGGGGGGCATTTATAGCCTCCTTAGACGATAACTGAAGAAATAGCTGGTCAATAACTGTCTCTTTAGGCGCGGCAGCTGATGATGTCGCGGCTAAAGGGCGCGACAGTTGACACTGTCGCGGCCAAAGAGCGCGGCAGTCGACACTGCCGCGGCTAAAGGGGCAGTTACACCCACGTTCATACGTGTTTGAAACAGTTCTCCCACGACCTTTAACCACCTTTTTCGTGGTTTAACTGCTTTTCCACATCAGCACACGTTCTATTTCTGATACTCCGCCACGTGGACTTTAAATAATCATCAGATAACTGTATTATAACTGCTGTAGCATCCTGCTTTAACTGCCGCGGCACCATAGGTTGCAGCGGTTAAGCCGCGACACCATAGGCTGCCGCGCCTTAGCCGCGGTACCTTGGTCTGCCGCGCCTTAGCCGCGGCACCTTGGTCTGCCGCGCCATAGCCGCGGCACCATGTCCTGCCGCGCCGCCATATGTTGCTTGATGACGTGTATATTATTCTTCTATATCGTCTTGAGTGGTCTTTGAATGTCTGTAAGCATTTTTTGACGCCTACAGTGATGGTTTGAAGATAATAAAGGTTCAGATGTGTGCGCCCAAGATTGTTGCACTGCATGGGTTGAAGATGAAAAGCAAGGTCAGCGGCGTGATCATCTGGATCAATAAGAGATTATTGTTCATTGTTTCTTTTATTTTTCCCCCTCCCCTCCCGTCCCTTCTGATATTGATCTTTGAGTTTTGCGTATTCACCCTCTCCCTCCCATTCTGATATCGAGCTTTGAGTTTGCATATGAAGTTGTCGCTTATAAATTCGGTAGGTTTTCTGGGTAAAGGTGCCTGTGCCCTATTTTCCTCTGTAAGAATTGATGTTTTGTGGAGCTTTTTAGCTATTCAACTAGAGATGGCAATTTAATTGAACAATAGTCACCTAGTTGATTCAAATTTGATACATTAGATTACATGATACTTGCTTAATAAGCTAGAAACTATGGATTTACAAGAACATGTAATAATGTTGACATATTTCTGAATAGTAGCATGGGTAGATTCTGTAATAGCCAAGATATCCGTCTTTTTAAAATAAATTAAAAGAATTGTCTAATCGAATGATGTGTAAATATTTAAACCAAAAAACAGATAAACATACATGCCAGCAGGACAATCCGGGTTCAGGAAATTTAGCCTCGTCCACTCATCGCCCTGCGTCCTAGAAATAATTTGTACTAAAAAAGAAAAAAGATCTGTCGAGCACATACTTTTGCAAAAGGAGGCATTTTTGGGGTCTTTTTTGTGTAAATTCGAGTCGAGGCCTCAAATCAATTCATCATCGCTTCGACCCCTCTCCCATCTCCCTCGCAGGCTCCCACTATGTTCACCTCATCATCTCCGTCCTCCGTCTTTCTTCCTCTCCTCTCCTCCTCCTCCTCTCACCTCACCCATCACCTCCTCTCACCAGCCGCCGGCGAACACCAAATTGCCAAAGACCCTCCCTCAAGATCTCTTGCTCTTCAGACCCCATAACCGCCTCACCAACCTCCTGTGGGCCGCCTCCCTCCCCCCTCCTCCTCATCTCGCCGCCCGCTCCACCTGGCACTCCACCTGGCACCTCTCATGCGCCAGCTGGCCCCCACCACCCCCCTTCTCCTCCTACTCCCGCCCTCCCTCCCAGTTCCCTCCGTCCCTCCCCCTACTCACCTCCCCTCCCTCCGCCTCCGCTTTCGCGCCCACCCTTGCCCGTGGGCGCACCGCGCCCTCATCCTCCTCGCCCTCGCCGGCGTCGAGTCATCCGTTCGACTCGAGGTCGTGACCCCCGGGCTCGACGGAGCTTGGATGTCGGGAGACGGGTCGAGGCTGAGGGACGTCTACAAGAGGAGGAAGGGCGGGTACGAGGGGAGGGCGACGGTGCCGATGCTGTGGGACGAGGAGAGGGAGGAGGTTGTCTGTAACGAGAGCTGGGAGATCGTCAAGTTCCTCAGCTCCATCGGAGGTTTGGATCTGTGGGGGGAGGAGACGAGGGAGGAGATCGAGAGGTGGAATGGGATTGTCTATCCTAACGTCAACAATGGGGTTTACAGGTAACCCATCGATTTTTTGCTTCGTGATTGACGTAACAAAGTTCGAACAAGAGTTATCTCTTTGTTATCCGTATCCGTCTATACCTGTTAGAATACAGGGAAGATTGCGGATATAGCCGTAGACCACCTGCATTCTCAACTCCGTTAGTTTTCCCATTTAAATTAAATTGGATACACCTGATCTTAACGTCGAACTAACGGAGTTGAGAATCAAGGGGATCTATCTGCAATTAAGCAAGTGTACTTGTGCTACGCATCGACGTATAAAGGGTCTGGGTCTCTCTGCGACGACACATTACATGATACCCAGTGAAGGGGGTGCACAACCTAGTTTGGACACCAAGGAGTCCAAATGCTTGAAGAAAATTTAGGAATAGTAAGCGTCTACCGTCCTGCAATGCGAAAGGATTTGCTGTAATTAACTCTTGGGTAATTGCAGATGTGGGTTTGCACAGAGTCAAGAAGCATACGACAGTGCGGTAAACGACCTATTCAGTACTTTGGATATGTTAGAAGCTCACCTCTCGACGTCTCGCTACTTGTGCGGAGATTCGCTGACACTAGCTGATATTTGCTTGTTTACGACTCTGATTCGCTTCGATCTTGTGTATCATGGCCTCTTTAAGTGCAGCAAGAAGAAGCTCATTGAGTACCCCAACCTCTATGCATATACAAGAGACGTGTATCAGATTCCAAAGGTGGCAGAAACTTGTAATTTTGAGGCTATCATGGATGGGTATTATCGGATCTTGTTCCCGTTGAATCCTGGGAGTATTCGACCCATTATGCCTTCGGCCTGTCAGCATGAGCATCTTCTTCAGCCTCATAACAGAGAGTTGCTGCCTTCCAGGAGTAGCAGAGAAGCACAGCAGCTTCATGCTATCTGATTCCTGTAGAGTAAAATTAATGTATATAGCTGTAGTAGGGTTTCAGTATCTTATAAAGAGACGTAGCTCGATGTATGTTAAATCACTTTGTACAATAGACTATCATGCATTGCAGCACCATACACTTTGTTATCAGTATCAATAACCGCAGCAAATTTTGAAACCTGACTTCAACGCTTACAAGCACAAGTATATGTTTTTGTGCAATAATGCTGTCATCGAACAATTGTCAAAAACTCAGATTAGACTTCAAACAATGCAAATTTAGCATGACACGCAATTTATTCACAATACTAGATTACAGATCGTTTAGCAGAAAAAGTTCTTTTTGCAGGTTTAACTCCAGAACCGCATACTGTATTACATCAGTTTCACAACCAAAATAGAACAAAATCAACCTGATCTACTATTTTCTGCAACTTAACTAAATGGTTTCAACTTAGATATACAGAATTGAATAAACTGATATTCTGAAGGTCAGCGTGTATAGGCAAACACCAACAAAATCCTATACTTGTACTGCACATTAAAACCTTTAGGGCAATTTTTCCCCCCTTTCCAGTTTCCCCCTTTCCAGCATGGCACTTGACATCATTACTTACAAAATGGTACTGCCGCCAAACCATGTACGAAAGGCACCACGACTCTCAAAAGAAACCCATTGTGGCATATAATTATCCCCCAAAATATAATGTTGATAAAATTTGCACCCATCATCTTGCTTTTGAAATGGTTTGACTCAGCAGTTCACCTCAGTACCAATGCCTTTGACCGTGCTCCTGCAGATAAAAGATAAGAAAATATAGACGAATCAGAAAGTGCAAGTGCTGCCAAGAATATAGCTTGTGAACGTCAACTTTTTCACTTTTAGAACATTATATTCAAAAGACCAATTTAGACAGGATGGCATAACATCTGAGTTTTTCACCTAATAATTCCACAGGAAACATCTTTAAATTTCAAATTATACACAAACCACCCTTGATGTGGGTTTGTGCTGCAACCAACCGCCTCTGAGTCCAAGTTAACACTAAAAATCTAAAAATAACCTTAAAAATTCACATTCAAGGCACATTACTCATTTTGTTGATGTGTAGCTCTAGTTAGAATACAAGTCACAAACCTAAAACATGAATTTTTTTGGTTTTTTAATAAAAATTTGACTGGGAGGTTGTTGATTGCTACACAAACCCATGTTAAAGGTGGTTTATGTATAAATTGGTTCCTGTAGAATTTCCTATTTTTAAGGTGATTTCCATGAAAAAACCCCAACATCTAACCTACATCAGTATGTATCACTCTAGTTGAAACAAGGGATCCTATGACAAGTTTTAACAGTCAAATAAAATGCATGTCAAGCCCCCGGGCCAACAAGCTCGTTAGCGCGATGTAAGCGTGAGACCCAATGAATGCAGCATGTTGAGCATGTTGTTTTGGCTCAAACCAATGCCAAAATTAGCTGGCCAATACTACACTTGAACTTCATGACCCATCATTTAAACCCTCTATAACTCTTCTTATTTTCTCACATGATACTAAAGTTGGGGCATCACAATCACTCACCTTAAATAAGCGACGTCCTCATCGCAACATTACAATTAGCACATCCCAGTGTCACCGCCAAGCGATGTAGACTCTAGAGGTGGTTCCTAGGGGCTTGTAGAGGTGACTCCCACCACACTTATATGCACTTAGTCTCGCATCGCACTTAGTTCTACATTTCCGACTGGCTAATTGTTTTGATACCATTTGTTACGCCTCGGGCCCGTGAGCCAATTGATGCAATGCAGCTCTAAGACCCACAGAGTGCAACACATAGCTTGGCTTGATCCACTGTCAAAATGGACTAGTCACATTGCACTCGACTCCTTGGACTTGCATTATAAACCATTCAATTGCTCATTCAATTGCTCAGTCGGTATCCAATATGGGACTAAGTCTTGGGGCATTATAATGCAGCTTCTAATATAGAAAACATTGGTCTTTTTCAAGTTAAAACAAAATAAAATAGCCAACCATCCAGGGCAACTTAAAAACCCATAGGTGAAATTAATGCACTCCGCAATAAGAAGCTCTCTAGCACATCTAAATCCAATAAGAAGCTCTCTAGCAAAGACAACAGAGAGGCTACTAGACAACACATAACTCATTCATTCCTTTGCTGAAAAACACTTTTAACATTTTCATATTTAGATGACAAGAGAAAGCATAAAAACTTACTTGAGCGCTTCATGTCCCTACAGAATTTACTTCCACAACGACATTTAAATGCCTTTACTGGATGACTGACATCACTAAAGTCAATCCCATAGTCCTGCAAGTGGAAGAATATGGAAGTAAACAGACTCCCTCCAAACATGAATCACCACTAAGAACAGGAAACAATCCATGATCAATTTGGAAACCAAGCAATTTAATATTTAGAAACTGAAAAGTGCATCAGCTAGGACATAATTGTGCAACTTACACAGAATGTGTGTCAAAAATCAACCATACTGACATGCTTATACAAGCACGTTTTCCATTATTTAACTTGTCTAATGGACCTATAATTAAAATTGGGAGACATAATTTTGTTATTTAAATTTTTAATAACTGTAACTCTGCAAGACATATTGATCAGGATCTAACTAAACAAATACTTCCACAAAGTACAATTGGTGATCATATCCTGCCTATGGTATACCTAAAATCAGCCGGGTAAGACATTCATATATTGAAACAGGACGAATTAAACATCGACTGCTTCAGGCTTACCGGTTTGGGTGTGAAAGTTGGAACCATAGTCTCGTCTATGGTAACTGGCATCGACAAAATCGTCCAAGAAAGGCATTGGTTATAGACAGAATCTTTTCTGACTCAAGTACATCTTGGACGAAATCCATTTTTTAAGGCTCCAAAGCACAGCAGGTGAGAAATTCCTGGGCAAACACATAGCAAAATGTGCTACGAGGAACTGCATATATTCACTTTTGGTATGACTTTGACGAGAGGAAGTATTTAAAGAAACAGCTTAAAGAACAGCAATCTGAAACAAAAGGTTCAAAAGACTGATGTTGAATTTCCTTTTGAAGTTAAAAAAAATTAAACATAAAATATTAGGTTGCTATAGTTTTCCATTACTAACTAGTTGCATCTAGCATTCAGCTATTAGTTTCTTCCCAGATCACTAGAGAGATGATTGGTGACCAATTACCTATATAAGCTTAATGTAATATGAGAATAGATGAGGAGGGTTATATTCAGTTATCCTAAACTAAAAGTTCATGTCTATAGGCTGTAACGAACCGAACAAACATGGCTCACATGCATGATGATCCGGATGGCATGTGTCGCAAATTCCTAGTTCAAAGTGAGAAACTGTTGAGAAAAATAAATTTCCAGATCCAGCACAAGAAAAAAGGATTAAATTAATAACAAACAACAGACTGGCTACATCAGTAGTCACACGCTAATACAACTCAGTCAATTTCATGTGACATCCCTACTACTAGGTCCAGTATGGAATTGATAGCATTATAACAGTGGAGAAAAATAAATTTTATCCATGAACTCATAAAGAACACAGTTTCTTCTGGAACTTAGTAGCTAAGAGATTGTTAAAACACCTGAATTAACTATAAATTATTAGTTATGAATCCTTCAAAAGAGAATGCCATCTGTGAAATGATTAAAAGAATCTAGTCTATGCGTAAGTGTGTGATGCAACTATGAAAGCCTAAATAAAATACAAATTTCTACACTAGAAGTGAAATTGCTTTAGCTCAAAGAAAAAGGAAGTTAATCACATCAATGCTGCTTACCCATGTTAATTCCTCATTTTTCTCAATTTTTCTCGCCGTGAAAAAGGCAAGCTGCACAAAAGCATGAAAAAAAATTATAAACTCCCTGGATTAATTGTGTTAAAGTCCACTTTTGATAAAGACGAATTGCGCCTACATGGTAATAGTGGCGATCTGGAGTCTCCACTTCCACAGGAATCTCAACCATATTTGCATCCACACATCTACAGAGATCATCCACAATAGAAAGAGAATGTAAAGAAACGAATCACTAATGAAATCGTGACAAAGGGAAGGAGCATAACAAAATGAAGGGACGAAAGGAGACTGCAAGGGAAATTATTAAGCATGCTCTGGAACATCGTAGTGATGTAAAAATAAAAAAAATCGGTAAGGGCTAAATGTAAAACTGTAGTGCAATTTGACAATGAATATTTTAATAAATCTGTTCTAATGTTAATTAACTTAAACTAGAAGGGGGGAACTAGATGACAATTTATACCTGACATCAAAAAAAAAAGTGATAAAGTTGAACGAGCACATTAATAGAGCTTTAATGCTTTCTAGAAATAAAGAATTCTAAATCTTGTGTAGCAAAGACATATAGTTGAAGAATGCAAAAAAGTTAACCATAGAACACATGTAATTATGAAGTTTTTGCAGTTGAAATGCAGAAAATGTAATGCATATAGATGATTCAGACCAAACGGCATCTTAAGATTTTTAAAAATAGGAACCAAATGACATATATTTATAAGGAAAGGTTATAAAATATATACTGATAATAAGAAGTAAATTAGGGATATTACCTGTGATTAACAAATCTTGCAACATTTCCATAAAATGTTGCATCCAAACACAGAGCTTCCTCGTCTTTCAGGACCCCTTCTGAGCCCCAATCAGCATCCAGAAGAACAGGGTATGTATGTCTAGCATTGCCAGTGCTCTGGATTGTTCGATTGTATAATTCTATGTTAGTTAGTACCTCACCAACATATTCACACACAAATGTGCCTTTAGGTAACTCATCCAGAGTGCGAAGTCCCCATCCCTTTCCTTCAGGTGTAAAAAAAACCTAAAGCACACAAAAATTGTTTTAACTACGATTGAATCATAACTAAACCAATAGCGGAAGGTGAAAAGAACTGTACAATGTCTAGTTGTAAAAGAAAAGGAAACTAGAAGAAACTGAAGGCTTACATGTGTGTGTGTGTGTGTGTCATAATATAGAAGAACAACATAAAAATTGGCAGTTGTGATAATATCACAAGAGTATATCATGTATGTACATGAATATGGAATGAAGTAGACCTGTAAATTGCATGTGATGCCACGCTGAATGATGCGGTTTTTACACTGCATACTACATCCACATTTGCTCCAGCATTCTTTGATAAATTTTCTGACAAGATGCCCTTTGCACTTGCCCGGCGCATCCCCACTCTTAGGCCGTTCCAGCGGACAATCTTGGCAATAGACATGCTGGTGTTTATGAGGATTGCAATTCATGGAAATGCACTCGTCCAGAAATGACTCCTTGACCAGTCCCTTGCATGTATAGGCATATTCACCTCCAGTTTCCCGTGCACAAGGACAAGGTATGGTGGCAGCCAGACAGTCCCCATAACAGTCAGAACAACAATCTTCGTCGCCAATTCTCGCAAGTGAAAAGTTCACATAGGCGTTTTGGTAGATGAGATTCCGAGGTATGTAGTAAAAATGGGAAGGATACCTCTCATTGCTGACTTCATTAACCAGAGAGATCGGAATTCTTTCTTCTCCTCTAGTTATGTCAGTGGGATCATGGGGAGGTCTTAGATCGCCAAGTGCAGTCTGTGGATACTGCACCACCTTTAAATTAGAGTGTTCTGGAGCTACATTTTCCTTTCCCTTTTCCTGTCTGTCTTCTTTATGTCGATCAACAGTTTGTCTAGTACTACCACCAACAGAATCATTCACAGAAAGTGTCGGTGTTTCCTGTCTATCATAACTCGGTTCAACGGTCAAGTCTGAGGCAACTTGACACATTTCTTTCATTACTTTCAGCAGGGAGAAGTCTGATGGCAAGAACTTGTAGCTTTTCAGACACCTGTCCTCCACCATTTTAAAGAAAGCATCAATGCTCGGCAAGGGAAGATCAGGGCTACCAGAGTTAAAGCTAAACTGAAGTTTCACCGCCCCAGTATCAGAGGAAGCTATATCCACAGTAGTAGAAGAAGCCCCTTGAGAAGTAACAAGCTCAGATGCCTTTCCATTTGATGCATTATCTGAGAGACTTCCGTTCCTCTTCGCTTTATCTGCATTCTTTGCTTCAGTTTGAGCTGCTAAGGATTCAACATCATTTTCTTGCAGACTGCTCATGTCCCTTGGTGAAGTTTCGCCTTGAGAGTGTTGGCATTGATGAACTACAAATGACCAAGCCAATCAAATTGGTACAGTAGCATACGAGTATGTTACGAAGATGTAAAAAACTATAATCATTCCAAATCAATAGATTACAAAATGAAATACATAACAACTTAAAGTACAACAAACATATATTACAGTTGATCTGCTATTTTGCCATACAAAAGTAACAAAACAAAGATGCTTAGAGGTACTTGAAGTCACTGCCTTAGGTCATCAGTTATGACAGGTTGATTTAGAGGCAAACAATGAGCTATGAAAAATTTTCAAGGTATTCTTATAGTATGGTGGCCAGGTTACCTTACCCAGTTTGGAAATGGTTTTAAAATGTACTTATTTCATTATGGTCCTGAGCTAAGGACAAACCCATAAATATTATAGCATGTAAGAAGGCTGGTTTA